TTTGATTTAGACTGATGTACAACTGTTTAGTTCAGCCATTATTGTAACAATTTGTGTAAGAAGTTACAGAAATGGTTTTTAATTCAGAATTTTACAACTGAAATTATTTTAAAATCATTGATAAATATAATTTTTTAAATCTAAAATTAAATTTTTGAGTATAGAGTTTATAATTACAGATATTACATGTTGTTTTATAATTATGGCCTTCTCTTAGGTAACTAATTACTGTAACTGTAAATTTGTGTAAACTTACCCAACTATAAATGTACAAAACAAACATTTTTTTTTTTTTTTGAGATATATACAAGAGTTGTTACATTCTTGTACAGCCACTAGTACGCATAGCGTTTCGGGCAGGTCCCTGGAATACGATCCCCGCCGCGAAGAATCGTTTTTTCATCCAAGTACACATTTTACTGTTGCGTTAAACAGAGGCTACAGTTAAGGAATTGCACCCAGTAAATCCTCCCTGGCCAGGATACGAACCCATGACATAGCGCTCGCGGAACGCCAGGCGAGTGTCTTACCACTACACCACGGAGACTGTATTTATGAATAAATAAAGGTGGGTTCTTTGATAATGACCACAGGAAAATATTGGTTTATTTCAATGCGAATTTGAAAAATAGTGCAGTCACAATAATGAAAATTTATATACTGTACTATACTTTATAACGCAGTATTTAATTTAAAGATACATAAATTTCAAATATGAATAAAATATATCTAATCATCATTGTAGCTATATATAAAAGTGGCTCTAGTGTGAAGTGTTGTGTGATAACAAGTACAGTGTGACTAGTGAGGCCTTCCCAGGAACCATCTCCTGGGCTACCTTACCTTGAGGTTACCTCAAGGTGTTTTCGGGGCTTAGCGTCTCCGCGGCCCGGTCGTCGACGAGGCATCCTCATTGCTGGAATGGTCGACCAGGCTGTTGGATGCGGCTGCTCGCAGCCTGACATACAAGTCACAGCCAAGTTGATCAGGTATCCTTTGAAGGTGCTTGTCAAGTTCTCTTGAACACTGCGAGGGGAAGACCAGTTATGGCCCTTATGTGTAGTGGAAGCGTGTTGAACAGTCTCGGGCCTCTGATGTTGATAGTTCTCTCTCTCGGGGTACCTATTGCACCTCTGCTTTTCAACGGGGGTATTCTGCACATCCTGCCATGCCTCCTGGTCTCATGTGGTGTTATTTCTGTGTGCAGGTTTGGGACCAGCCCTTCTACTATTTTCCACATGTAAATTATTATGTATCTCTCCCTCCTGCGCACAAGAGAATACAGATTTAGGCATTTCAGCCAGTTCCAATAGTTTAGATGTTTTACCGAGTGGATTCTAGCAGTAAAGGATCTCTGTACGCTCTCCAGATTTGCAATTTCTCCACCTTGGAAAGGGGCTGTCATTGTGTAGCAGTATTCCACTCTGGAAAGCATTAGCATCTTAACCACTTAACTGCGCCAACCAAGTATTCTTGGTTGGCGGGAAACTGCGCCAACCAAGAAAACTCTTTTTTATTTTTCCGTACCCAGTCTAAATGTGTGCGAGGTTGATTGTGTACGAAATGGACTCTTAGGACCTCCAGTGAGAGGCAGCCATCTTGGAAAAAATTCCCAGAATGCCCTAGGACTGCTGGCTGGGTTAGTACCGAGTGAGCAACCATGAGTGGCGCACGCGCCTCTGGCTCCTAAACACCTGTCTGACGCGGTGTTGAAAGATAACGCTCTGTCGGTAAAATTCAAACCTTATTGTTTGAAGAACATAAGGGTCATAATATTGGTGAAGCTAGGCACAATAAGGACCTAACACAAAGGTCGGATGCATGTGATACAGCACCTATGAGGACGATACAGCGAGCGTATCCAGTTGTAGCTCTGAGCATCACCCCTTGCAATCCTATGCTATCTCCAATTTATTTAGATGATACATAAATGAATCGGTTTCTGCATTCAATGATGATGCATCTGATACAAGTAGCATAGATGAACAGTGTTAGCGGCTTCCATGGTGGTGTTTTCCATAGATATTGTCAAGAATACCTGCATCTTTTCCTGATTGATGGACACTCTTTGAGGCAAACTGAATCTCTTCCTGTGTGGGACCATACAAAGCGATCTTTTCAAGACTACCTTACAAATTGATCTTTTCCTATAATCTTTTCAAAACTACCTTATGCTTTACAAGCTTGGCTACATACAACCTACAAGTACTAAAGCCAAAGGTGTACAGGAGTGCGTTACTTGCAAGCACACAGAATGAAGAAACAGGAAGCAAAAATTTATCTGTACCCGGTGCAACGAGAGCGAAGTCGCTCTGTGTACCATGGACTACTTCGTTGATTATTACTCACTTCTGAAGTACTGTGTAATACAGTGTGTTACTGTGTAAATAGTGTGTGAAACTGTACATATTGTAATTTTATTGAATTTTTAACTAGTAATATTGTGACAATAAACATTTATTGTGGACACATTACTGACACATGTATCACAGTTCCATGGAACATTATGAACGTTCTACTGTATACATATTGTAAAGGACACAAATATGCATCATATACGATAAAAAAAACATAAAACCGCATTGGAAATAAATAGAACATATAATTGAAAATATATTTGTGGCAACATCCGGTGCTTAACCCTTAACATGCTCGGGGTTTAATATCCTGTCATCCCCACAGGCGCATGTCATTTTGAAAAAAAAAAAAATTATTTTTTCTTTCTAACCTGTTAATTTGTGTTCACTGATCACGGGAAAAATAATAAAAAAATCGTAAGTGGCATATATTGCCCGCTATAGGGCGGGGAAGTCTGGCAAATTATAGGCGCTGACTCAGCGGGCGTCCCAGGCGGTCTGTTGCTCGCAAGCTGTCAGGCCAGAGTTGCCACAAAGAGATAATTACCGAATTATTTCAATGTCTCTGATTGATTTTTCATACTTTTTTTTGCTGTAATATTATTCAATAGTGTGTAGTTTGATATATTTATATAATAAAATGAGTGAATCGTTGGTGTACTCAAAAATATGGTGTGCATATTGTTGATTCAATTATGTTCATCAATCAGTGAACAAATACTTTGTCGGTTATTACACTATAAGCACAGGTTATATATAAGTATTTGCATGTTTTGTTCACTATAACGAACCACTAAGTAGCTATTATGAGTCAAAAAGTAACGAGGAGTGACCGCCGTGTACCAGCCAGCCACTCCTGCCCTCCCTCCAGTCATCTGACTCACCCTCATTCTCCTCCCACAATAATGTTTTTGCTATAATTCACTATATACAGACATTATATATAAGTATCTACATGTTTTGTTCACCATAACTGTACATCTAAGCTTGTATGGTGAGTAAAGGCACAGAGATGTGGCTACTCACACAGTCAGCTGATCGGCGGCCGCCCTCAAGGTCAGACGCACTAATATTTCTCCTCCAACAATACTGTGTAGTGTTATTATGCTATATATCTTATATACAGACGTTATATATAAGTATCTACATGTTTTGTTCACCATAACTGTACATCTAAGCTTGTATGGTGAGTAAAGGCACAGAGATGTGGCTACTCACACAGTCAGCTGATCGGCGACCGCCCTCAAGGCCAGACGCACTAATATTTCTCCTCCAACAATACTGTGTGGTGTTATTACGCTATATACACAGATTATATATAAATATCTACCTGTTTTATTCATCATACTTGTACAAATAAACTGGTATGGTGCCCAAAGACCATCGTGGTAACCAGTAAACAACACCGTCGTCTGCACGGTGGCGTCGTACAGACGACGCCACCGCCCTCACCAAAATGGCGGCTCCAAACCTTCTCTTGCTGTTTATACCCTCTATACGCATGTTATATATAAGTATCTACATTTGTGTTCACCATAGCGAACCACTAAGCTGGTATGGTGAGTGCAGTCAATAAAAGGTGGCCACACACAGTCAAAAGACATCGCCACCACCCTCCCTCCCACAGTATTACACCTCCTTCCATGGTGCACAGCGCTAAATATCACCACAATCCTGCTATTATCAGAACCCTGGTCAGTTTTATCACAGTCAGGGGTCTTCTGTAATAATATCATCACTACATAATAGCATGAACAAGTATAATTTGGCATTTTTAGGCGATGCTGTGGTCACAAGCTGAACAGCAGTGCTGTTAGCTCATGCTGCGTGCGTCAAGCTTGGTTGCTCACTCAATACTGAGGCCAATAAGACCCGGGAGTTTGGCCCACGATTTTTTTTTTAAATGGCGTCTGTTTACAAGAGCCCTGATGAAGGTGTGGTGAACCCCGTGTATCCGCGGGCTGTTTAAATCTTGCGAAGTACTCCAACACATCATATGATGTGATGCACAGTTTACTGGAACAACGTCCAGCACGTCATATGACGTGATGCGCACTTTAAGGGTTAAATGGCCTGCGCGACCGTGTCTGGGCGAGTCATGCACGGGCGACCAGGCCCTAATGACGTCACAGCGCACCTTGTCCACGTCACCACAGCCAAAGTAAGTGGAATTTGGTATTTATTTTTACATAGATATGTTCAGGGAAGGGAATTTATCATTTAACAAAGAAAAAAGATTTTTTGGGGGGAACACTTTATTTCATGCGCACAGGGGGGAATTTCACAATAAACTTGGCACAGCACGGTGGTTAAAGAGTATCATCACTGGTATAGCATCTCTAGTTTGAAAAGTTCTTGTAATCCAACCTGTCATTTTTTACAGTTTTTTTTATAGGTGTACACATTTTGGTACAGCTCTGCACATTTTATTTTTGAGATATTGCTCAATTGCTCATCGATAGTTGAAATGCCTAATATCTACTACACATCCCATTCACAACAGAATTCCCCATGTAGCATCACTAATGTGTGTTGAGAATTTTAAGCCAATAAACAAAGTCATTTTCCAGGTGTAGATTATTCCTTCCAGGGATTACCAGATTTGTCAGTAAATAAAAAAGCATCAGTTATAAAGCTGCTCACCTGAGGGAGGTAAACAATCTGATCACCACCAGCATTTGCAGTTGGTGGATAGTCTGTTTCTTTTATCACATTCACAACAGTTGTGGCATTTCCTTCTAGGCCCTCCTTATCCTTTACTCGCAACCTTTAAATAAAATATAAATAACAATTACATAAACAAAAAGTCATTTATAATGTATTAATGACAAATATTATTAGAGTAAATAATTACCACAACATAAACAAAACATTAATTGTAATGAAACGCCCATTTCTGGGATACACTCCGGTAGCTTCCCTCATCTTACGTCACTGACACACATACAGGTCACAACATGACAGGCTTTCATTGACAATCTCAAAATACAGCAGACAGTTATTGTTCCCATCCATGTGCAAGGATTCTTTTGATGATCAAAGATTCAATTAAAACATACTATCAAGATGAACCACTTGAAAACACAAGAAATAATAAACTTCTTTCAACAGATGTTTGGAAATATCAAAGAGCCAAGACACTCTTGAAATACTTAATCCCCCACTAATTTAACTACCCCCAACCACCACCAGGTAGCCGGCTAAGCAACCCATGAGTCGGGAGGAGGAAGTTGCCACACATCTGAACCCAGTGCATCTACAGAAGTTAAACCCAGAAAGAGGAGGGTTTCATTACACTCAAAAACCTCATTTATGGACTTGCCCTCCTTGGCCCCTGAACTATAACTACACGACGTACAATAAAAAACCAGTGTTGAACATAATGAAATGCCATTTTCTGGGCGAAACCCGGAGGCTTCCTCGAAGGTATCCAGGTCAATATGTAACTATTAGCTTTCTGGCATCAGTCAAAGTGCATGGAGTTCTTGTCTACCAGGGACCACGAACCAGAACCTGGCCCCCCTCAGAGAGGTGCGAGGAGCAATGGCCTAATGCAAACCCCCGTGTGGTTCGGAGCATTCTATGTCTGTCATCGACCAGATCTGGCACCCAGAAAGATAGGCGCCCCAAAACAAACCCCTATTCTGGTGAAAATATTACTACCAAAAGCCGAACGAGTGGACAGAACTCCCAAACGAAAATTAGCAAACGAGCATTACGTCATTACGTTGCCGTGCCGCTGTCTGCGCTATACCCCCTCTCCCTGGGAGGGGGAAGGGGGAGTCCCAGACCTTTGTTCCAGTGATCCAACCAGCAGTTCTTAGGCTGGATGTCAGAAACATGCAAAAACACTGCCAACCGGAGGGAGGGAGAGAGAGAGGGGAGGGAGGGGGGAGGGAGGGATGCCAGCTTCCGAGTCTCACCCAGAAAATGGCCTTTCATTGCACTCAACGCTGGTTTTTTTGGGGAAGCATTGTCGGTTCCCCGGAGCTAACTACCCAAAGACAAGGAAAAACACAGGGATTTACCCGAGAGGCGGCTAGTCCTCACTCCTCAACGTGAAGTCGAGACAACTGGCTGCAACCGCCGACCCAATGCAACGCAGGCCCTACCAGGCCAGGGACATTGACAAAGTAGCGAGTGGCCAGGACCCTGTTAGACCTCTAAAAACCCCATGCCCGAATGTCAACCCAAGACATGTCACCAAAAACGGCAGCCAAAGCAGCAAACTTAGGAACGTCGTGGGCACGGGGATAGACCACAGGTTAGCTAGATTTAATAGCCATGCAGTCGGGAAAGGGTGCCACATATACTGGGAGACGCCTCGACCACGCTGACGCATAGAGATCCACTTCCGGAGGCTCATGTTACAAAATCTAGTACGCACAGCTCGTGTATCAATGGGCAGTGATAAAATAGCCTAGGGTAAGTTCACTGCTTTTAAAGTAATACATCAGAGTGCCCCTATGTTAGCACAAACAAGTATAATAATAAGATAAAGATAAGTAAACATGCATATATAAAATATATATAATATATGTATAATTCAAAATTATATGCAAGTTTTCAATATAACAACACATGTATTCACATAAATATCACTAAGACAATAATGGCTTAATCTAAATGGAAATCTCAGATTAATTAATCTACCCTACAGAAAACTAAACAGCACACACAGACTTAACGTAAAAGATGTTTCCCAGACTGAGGTCTCAACGCTACTAACTTGCTCACGAGGCGCACATCCAAAACATATCCCCCCTCCCCTCCAGCCATCCTAGACAAGGGGATGGCGAACGAGTACTTTTACATACAAATTAATTAATGAGAAAAGTAATCATTCCCACACAGACATGAACTAAAACAAAATATATTCTGCAACATGCAAATGACATTATCATAGTACAACATATTTAATCAAAGGTATATTATAAAAGTATGATTAATATAATAGGTGACATCTGGCAACTCAACAAGTGAACACGTACATTTATTTCTGGTCCAAACTGACCGGTAATAGACAAGTATGATTCAGGTGAATATAGCAAGCCCACTCCTTCCCCATATATGTTGCCATATCCTATCAACATTTTCAATAAAGCTAATACATATACTTGAATAATATTATATTTCACAAATTATCAATACATGAAAGATTGTGAGTATCCATAACTAGGGATATGTAACAGCCCGAACATCTAGCAGAGCTAACCAAACAAGCTTGCGTCGACCGTCCATTCTGTGGACAGGGCAATGAACTGAGAAAGGCCATCCGGCAGGACATTGGACACCCCCAGAACATGAACCGCCAGGAGAGCCAAACCCCAAGAACTCAATAGATGAGTCACCCGAAGCGACCAACCCCAAAGAACTAAGGACTTCATGGAATCCCCTCGGTTTAGGCAATGAACCACCTGGGAACAGTCTGAATGGAGCCGGATTGTCGATCCACAAGTGACCCAAACCCTCCAGAGCGATATATACACACAGCCGCGAACTCCCACACCGTGCTGTGAGCCCGATGGAAGGACGGATCCCCACCGTCCCTGGCCGGCTTGGTGAGCACTGGTCACAAAACCCCAGCCAAGAGACGACGAGTCCATGAACACATCGAGCGAGGGCTCAGGTAGGCACCAAGGCACTGAACTCCAAAAAACACAAAGAGGAAGCCGGTGATGCAGCAGCCGACGCAAGGCACCCGGAGGCATAACCCAGCGATCACGAGAGAAGCAAAAGGGACGTCCCCGAAGGAACCAGAAGAGCCGACAAAGCCAAACTCGACCCGGCAGGTAAACCAACATCGCAAAGTTCAGGCTTCCGAACTGCCTCTCGAGCAGCCGCCAGGTGACCTGGGAGACCCCCCCCAGAAACAAGTGCATGCGAAACCGCAGTCGAAGGAGTGACTTCGGAGGGAGAGACAAGGAAGCAGTACGAGAGTCCTTCACAAGACCCAGCCAGGTCCAAACCTTGGAGGGAACCAGATGGGACTTCCGCCAGTTCACCAGGAACCCAAACCCAGTTAGCTTGGAAAGTACCAAACTCCTGGCGAGCAGATACGCAGAACGATCTGGACCCAAAACCAGACAGTCGTCGAGATAGGCCAACACCAGAACACCTAAGAGACGCAGACGGGCCACCTCGACCCGGGTAAGGCGTGTGAACACGCGAGGTGCCAGGTTCAGCCAGAACGGGAGACAACCTAAGCTCTAACTCTGATACCCCACAACAAAACCGAGCCAGTCCCTGAACACCAAATGAATCGGGATGTGCCAATAAGCGTTCTTATGGTCCGGCGACACCTTCCAAGCACCCACCTCCAACAGAAGCCGAACCTGGGACGGAGTGGTCATCCGCAAGGAGGGGCAAAAAACCAGCGTTGATTGTAATGAAACACCATTTTCTGGGTGAATCCTGGAGGCTCCCCGGAGCTCACTAGGCTGATATGCTAATGTCAGACTTTGTCATCAGTCATGTGTATGGAGTTCTTATGGGCCTACCGGGAACCACAAGCCAGAACCTGGCCCCCCTCTAGAGAGGCAAGGAGAGCAATGGCCTATAGAAACCCCTGTGTAATTGGAAGCATTCTATGTCTGCCATTGCCCGGGTTAGGCACCCAGAAAGGTAGGCGTCCTAAATCAAACCCCCTATTCTGATGAAAATTGCAAACAAAAGCCGAACAAGTGGATAGAACTCTATAAAGTAAAATGAGGAAACTAGTATGACGTCACTCGTCGTCGCGCCGCTGTCTGCGTAGTCCCCCCTTTCCCGGAAGGGGGAAAGGGTAGCCCCAGACCTACCGCGCTACCGTAGCCCCAGACCTACCGATCAACACCCTAGTTCTGAGATTGGATGTCAAAACACGCGAAAAAAACGAGGGAGGGATGCCGGGGAGCCTCTGGGACTCTCCCAGAAAATGGCGTTTCATTACATTCAACGCTGGTTTTCTGGGGGGAACTCCTACGGCTCCTCGGAGTTAACTACCAACAGATGAAAGATAAGGGACTTACCCAGGAGGCGGTTGCTGCTCACTCCTCAATCCGAAGTCGAGACAACTGGCTGCATCCGTCGACCCAAAGCGACAAGCACGACTGGGCCCAGGAATGTTTACAAGGTAACGAGCAGCCAGGACCCTGTTCGACTGCCAAAATCCCCGAGCCCGAACGTCAGCCCAGGACATATTGCCAAAGACGGTGGCAAGAGCCGCGATATTGCAGACATCATGTGCATGGGAATAGACCGCAGACTTGCTAGTCATAATAACCCTGCGGACGATCTGGGAGACCCGCACCCTCGAACAGGGAAGAAGGGAAACCGGATCAACCCAAAGCGCGTCCACGGACACAGAAGCCGTGGCGCGCAAATAACGGTGGAGAGCCGCAACCGGACACAAAACATGATTGCCCCCCGGCTGACCCAACCAAGCATCAACAACCCAGGGACCCCTCCAGAACGCAGCAGTCTCATTCTTCGGCAGAAAAGAAGGAGAAGGCTGCAGACGAACAAACCGATCACCCCGACGGAAGGAGCAGAAACCTCTGTGCCGGAGGAGAGCATGAAGCTCACCAACCCGACCCCCAGAGGCCAATGCCAAAAGGAAGAGAGTCTTCGAAAAAAAATTTGGAACCAGAGGGCCACAACAAACCGAGGAGAAGAAAGAAAAGAGAGCACTCTGTCCAAAGACAAGGACAGCTCAGGCGGAGGATGAGCAGGCCTGAGGTGAAACAACGCCCGAGACAGCTTGCGAAACGGCGCAGACGTGACATC